TGGGAGGAAAACATATCAAATGTATATGTAGGCATAATTTTAAAACAGATTTTTGTAATTTGTATTTGATACTGAGAATTTTTGAAAAGAAATATGAAAAAATATTTAAACCACAAAAGTATAATGTAGCATGAAAATCATACATTTAGATTATAAAACTAAATTCTTTTAAAAATTAATTTTAGATAAAATTTGCTATTGTAAATTATAGGCTTCTTTGAAACCCAACACCATCCTGCTTCCCCAATCTTCCTCCTTCGTCCTTTCAAGGATTTAAGCCTTCCAAAGTCTCTTTCGGGAAAACTGGTGTTTATTGAAATGATTTAAAAAAGACAGTGTATTTGCTGATGTTACAGTAAGGCTTTCTATAAGCAAGAGTGTTAAAAAGTTCGAGAATTGTGCCTACCCAGTCATAATTAGTACACAGGCTTGATAGTCCGCTTCTACCAGCTACTTGGCTCTCTTTTCATTTTCTTTCAAATTCTGATATCTGTGTATGCATCCATTTATATCTCTCTCCCTCCCTCAGCGTGAACTGTTTTTACCTCTAGGCACATGCTATAAACTCTTGAACTAAATTATCTGTCTTACTAAATGTATGGAAAAGTCGGCTGTCAGCAAAGACCTGCTTTGTATATTCTGCAGTAGGTTCAATCTCACCCATCAGATTTAACAATCAAGTTGAATGTTGATCTAACAGTAGATTATTAATCAAGTTGACAGTCCTGTTAACAATCAAGTGGAATGCCAGTGGTAGTGAAGGAGTGAGGGGACAGGAACTTACACACTGATGGAGGGAATGTGCGCTGACTTTGGAAGCCTGTTTGTCATTATCTTAACAAGTGGGAGATGTGCAGAGTATATGAACCAACAATACCACCTGGATGTTACAATAATAGCCCAAGCCTAAAAACAACCCAAATAATAATCAGCAAAGGAATAAATAAATATGATGTGTTTATACAGTGAATATTGTACAGCAAAGAAGCATGTAACAGAGTAGATGGATATCATAAACACACTGTTCAGTATAAGAAGGCACAAAAAGAATGAATACAACATGGTTTCATTTAAGCAAAGCTCAGAACACAAGGGAAGCTAAACCATATTGTGGTTTAATCATTAAAAAAGAAGTAAATGATTTTCATTCCCATTTCTCTCCCTTTCCCTGCCTCCTCCCTCCTTCTCTTTCTCTCACTCTCCCATCCCCAAGGTGAATTGTAACTTACCAAAATGTAGCCTAAGGCCTCATTCATTCAATACATACTGAGTGCCTACTATCTATGAGACATTTGGGAAAGTGAAGTGAAAGTCATTCAGTCCTGTCCAACTCTTTGCGACCCCATAGACTATACAGTCCATGGAATTCTCCAGGTCAGAATACTGGAGTGGGTAGCCATTCCCTTCTCCAGGGGATCTTCCCAACCTAGGGATTGAACCCAGGTCTCCTGCTTTGCAGGCAGATTCTTTACCAGTTTAGCCACAGTATACAAGCAAATCTGAAAGTAGGATATACTGTAGCATGTCACAGAGCTTGTATTCAGCGGTTGTTTTCAGGTTCTTTCCTCAGCCTTAGTGCATAATTTGTACCTGATAGTGGAATACCAACTTGCTCACATTTTTTTCTCATTTGTGAGGCATATAAATTTCATTGCTTCCTGGTTTTGGCTACTGAACTGAAGAGTAATATCAAGTGCAGTATTTCATTAGCCCTACTGCATAAAGCCCTACTCTTACGTAAGCACTTATTTGTGCTGGAAGCTACTCTCTGTGACAAGTCAACATTAAAGAATGTTCATTTCAGTTCAGTCTCTCAGTCACGTCTGACTCTTTGCGAGCCCATGAATCACAGCACGCCAGGCCTCCCTGTCCATCACCAACTCCCGGAGTTTACTCAAACTCATGCCCATCGAGTCAGTGATGCCATCCAGCCATCTCATCCTCTGTCTTCCCCTTCTCCTCCTGCCCCCAATCCCTCCCAGCATCAGGGTCTTTTCCAATGAGTCAACTCTTCGCATGAGGTGGCCAAAGTATTGGAGTTTCAGCTTCAGCATCAGTCCTTCCAATGAACACCCAGGACTGATCTCCTTTAGGATGGACTGGTTGGATTTCCTTGCAGCCCAAGGGACTCTCAAGAGCCTTCTTCAACACCACAGTTCAAAAGCATCAATTCTTCGGCGCTCAGCTTTCTTCACAGTCCAACTCTCACATCCATACATGACCACTGGTAAAACCGTAGCCTTGACTAGACGATGTAGCAGGGCTTAAAGAGTTGCTGGGTAGTGGTTGGATACTTAGATTTATGTAAAATAAAAATGTAAATTATATTTCTAGAAGTGACAACACAGGGTGCTTAATTTCAGAGAGTTAAAAATGAGCCTGCATTCAGGGATATGAAAGTTTAGGATAAGGAATCTTTTGAAAGTTATTTTCAAGTGAACAATAATAATACTCATTTTAATATCATAGCATAAAGCTATAGAGCTACCTTTACTGTGGAAAAACAGTTTGAATGGACTTGTGTAATGACATGTTCTAATATATATTTTAAATAATTTGTGAGATGCCTTTAAAAACTTACCCACTGGTTTTGATAGAGTAAATGGATACAGCATTCTTGTTTCTTTGCATCTTCGGATTCTTTAATAAAGTTCTCTTTAACTCAGATATTTTATATGTGCTTTTCTTAAATTTGGTAATGCTGTAATTTCTAAGGTAGAGATTGAGCTTACACTCTGCAGCCCCAACTCTTGATAACACATAGCTATGTTGTACACAGTGCAAACAGGGCAGGCTGGGAGGAAGGGGAAGAAGGAAAGCAGAGGAAGGGAAGAAAATTACTTTGGCCCTGAAACACAAGTAGGTAATTTGCCTTTTAATTGTAGTTATGTTCTTACTTATTGCATTACTGAATTTGATGAACACAATTTGTATTAAAATTTCTTGAATTTAATGTTTTGAATATTGAGTACTTGAATATCAAAAGGAAGCCAGCTTAGCTTTCTAAGCACACACAATTTATGTTTTGAAAGCCTATACTTACGCAACAGTTAGAATCAAAAATGACTTGAACTTTGCAATTTAGGGATGGGTATATTGTATATGTGGGCTTCCCAGATGGCTCAGTGGTAGGGAATCCACCTGCCAATGAAGGAGATGTGGGTTCAATGCCTGGGTCAGGAAGATCCCTTGAAGAAGGAAATGGCAACCTGCTCCAGTATTCTTGCCTGGGAAATCCCATGGACAGAGTATCCTGGCAGGCTATAGTCCATGCAGTTGCAAGAGTCGGACATGAGTTAGTGACTAAACAAGAACAGATACTGTATGTGCATAATATTGAAGGTCTGAGCTAGATTTGTCATCCTGATATTTAGTTTTTTTCTGACATGATCTGCATACAAATTGCCCAACAATGTAGATAATTTGCATTTATGTTATTGGAAAAGGAAACTCTAAATGAGATATGTATTATAGTTGGCTGCCTCATGTGACTAGTTAGTTACTCTGGCACTGAAGAATTTTCTGTGATCTTATTAGCTAATTAGCATAGGGTCCTGTTCTGCATCTATATAACAATACAGTGAAGCCAAGTGGGCATGGCACAAAACTTAAGTGAACACAACTATTTTGTTTCATTTTAGTACAGATTTCCTTAAAATTTTCAAATATTATGAAGTCCTGCTATATAAGTTGTGTGTGTATTTCTGCCACAGGAAATGAAATGTATTGTTTCATTTTCTATTACGATTCAGCAACAGTTATAAAGATACATCTTAGTTTCAGTTCTTTTATTAGATTTCATTTACTAACTAATTTCATAGCAGTATTTTTTTTTTTTGAGGCATTTCTTTTACTGATCCTTTTGTATGCTTCTATGGCTTCACAATTCAGTATGGTAGCCACTATCCAGGTTTGACTCTTGAGCTATTGAAATGTGGCTAGTCTAAATAGACATGTAACTGTAGTGTAAAATATAAAATACACTTGGTTTTCAAAGATTTATTACTAAGATGAGAATGTAAAATATTTCACTAGCAATTTTATTGTGTATTGCAGTGATCATATTTTAGACATTTTGGATTGAGTAAAACATATCACTAAAACTAATTTTTCACTTTTTATGTTTTTAATATGGCTACTTGTAAATTTGAATTATTTATTTAGTTCACATTTGTGGCTCTCATTTTTATTGTATTCACTGTTCTAGAGTATATCATATTTTATATAGGGAAGTCAGATTTAGAAAGACATATTCTTTCTTTCATCTCTTTCTAATTCTGTGTTCAGGGTTTGCAAAAGTATTTTAAAGTGATATCTATGTTCCGACAGTTAAATGGTATCTCTTCTATGTGATGTAGATGTATACATAGCAGAAGGTGTGTTTGACCATTTGACCATTGATTGTAATGTCTAAGTGTATTGGTGTGTTCTTGAATGGAGAGAATAAGGAAAAATGAAATGCAAACTACTAAGAATTGGAAAAGGAAATATGTACTATAGAAAATACCAGTAAAAAGACCCTAGTACTAATCTTTAGAAATTACATATTGTAATGTAGAGTTACGCTATACTGCAGATGGTTGTCTTTGATAGTAACTGACTTTGAAAACACTGAGAAAGATACATTTAGTGGTTTCCAAACTGAGAAAAAAATCCAATCAAATTTTAGTTCCAGTTTTTTTCCTTTTACACAGAGTTGTCATTTGTGAAAGAGAAGGCGAAAAATTTCACATCAGTCATAAAGTCTTAAGACCCAGAGAAGTTATGATACCAAGGAGAATAATCTTTTTTCTCCTAAAAAGTGATTGCCTCTCTTCCCCATCCCACCCCCATTTCCATGTTTATTTGTTTTGTTTTGCTTTCTAAGAAGACATTTGATGCCCTACTTTGGTTTATTTTCTGCGTACTAAATAAGGAATAACTCTGTTATGTTTTGTATTTGAAATTTTAAGGTACATTTCTTTTTTCTTTTATTTTTAATTTGACTCTTTGTTTTACAGATGAGGGCAGAAGTGCAGTTGACCAAGCAGGTGGTGCACAGATTGTAGTTGACCATTTAAGGTCACTGTGCAGTAAAACAGATCCCGCCAGTGAGAAGCTCTTGACTGTCTTTTGTGGCATGCTGATGAACTATAGCAATGAGAATGGTAAACAAAATTGAAAACTTGCTTTATCTGTGGGGGAGAAATTAAAAATCATCATTACTGTAGTATACACTAAAAATATTTAGAAAAATTATGAACAAAGCATTCATATTAATAAGTAGCATATAAAATTAGTAATTAGCCAACATTAAACTACAATGTTTCAAAAATACGAAGTGGTCTAATTATTAAGTGGGACTAATTGTTGAAGGGTTGTCCATGTTAATCAATACAAAAACCAAGAAACAAAATAATGGTATGGTTTGTGATTTCTTGCTATGAACATTTTATTTTTATTTTTATTTTTTTTACTTTACAATATTATATTGGTTTTGCCATACATTGACTTGAATCCTCCATGGGTTATATGTGTTCACCATCCTGAAACCCCCTCCCACCTCCCTCCCCATCCCATCCCTCTGGGTCATCCCGCTGCACCAGCCCCGAGCACCCTGTATCATGCATCGAACCTGGACTGGTGATTTGTTGCACGTATGATAATTTACATGTTTCAGTGCCGTTCTCCCATATCATCCCGCCTTCACCCTCTCCCACTGAGTCCAAAAGACTGTTCTGTACATCTGTGTCTCTTTTGCTGTCTCACATACAGGGTTATCATTACTATCTTTCTAAATTCCATATATATGCATTAGTATACTGTATTAGTGTTTTTCTTTCTGGCTTACTTCACTCTGTATAATAGGCTCCAGTTTCATCCACCTCATTAGAACTGATTCAAATGCATTATTTTAATGGCTGAGTAATATTCCATTTTGTATATGTACCACAACTTCCTTATCCATGCATCTGCTGATGGACATCTAGGGTGCTTCCATGTCCTGGCTATTATAAATAGTGCTGCGATGAACACTGGGGTACACGTGTCTCTTTCAGATCTGGTTTCCTCGGTGTGTAAGCCCAGCAGTGGAATTTCTGGGTCATATGGCAGTTCTATTTCCAGTTTTTTAAGGAATCTCCACACTGTTCTCCATAGTGGCTGTACTAGTTTGCATTCCCACCAACAGTGTAAGAGGGTTCCCTTTTCTCCACACCCTCTCCAGCATTTATTGCTTGTAGACTTTTGGATAGCAGCCATCCTGACTGGCGTGAAATGGTACCTCATTGTGGTTTTGATTTGCATTTCTCTGATAATGAATGATGTTGAGCATCTTTTCATGTGTTTTTTAGCCATCTGTATGTCTTCTTTGGAGAAATGTCTGTTTAGTTTTTTGGCCCACTTTTTGATTGGGTCTTTTATTTTTCTGGAATTGAGCTGCAGGAGTTACTTGTATATTTTTGAGATTAATTCTTTGTCCATTTCTTCATTTGCTATTATTTTCCCCCATTCTGAGGGCTGTCTTTTCACCTTGCTTATAGTTTCCTTTGTTGTGCAGAAGCTTTTAATTTTAATTAGGTCCCATTTGTTTATTTTTGCTTTTATTTGCAATATTCTGGGAGGTGGATCGTAGAGGATCCTGCCGTGATTTATGTCGGAGAGTGTTTTGCCTATGTTCTCCTCTAGGAGTTTAATAGTTTCTGGTCTTACATTTAGATCTTTAATTCATTTTGAGTTTATTTTTGTGTATGGTGTTAGAAAGTGTTCTAGTTTCATTCTTTTACAAGTGGTTGACCAGTTTTCCCAGCACCACTTGTTAAAGAGAGTTTCTTTTCTCCATTGTATATCCTTGCCTCCTTTGTCAAAGATAAGGTGTCCATAAGTGCGTGGATTTATCTCTGGGCTTTCTACTCTGTTCCATTGATCTGTATTTCTGTCTTTGTGCCAGTACCATACTGTCTTGATGACTGTGGCTTTATAGTAGAGCCTGAAGTCAGGCAGGTTGATTCCTCCACTTCCATTCTTCTTTCTCAAGATTGCTTTCGCTATTCAAGGTTTTTTCTATTTCCATACAAATTGTGAAATTATTTGTTCTAGTTCTCTGAAAAATACCATTGGTAACTTGATAGGGATTGCATTGAATCTATAGATTGCTTTGGATAGTATACTTATTTTCATTTTATTGATTCTTCCAATCCATGAACACGGTATATTTCTCCATCTATTTGTGTCCTCTTTGATTTCTTTCACCAGTGTTTTATAGTTTTCTATATATAGGTCTTTTGTTTCTTTAGGTAGATATATTCCTAAGTATTTTATTCTTTTCATTGCAATGGTGAATGGAATTGTTTCCTTAATTTCTCTTTCTATTTTCTCATTGTTACTGTATAGAAATGCAAGGGGTTTCTATGTGTTAATTTTATATCCTGAAACTTTACTGTATTCATTGATTAGCTCTAGTAATTTTCTGGTGAAGTCTTTAGGGTTTTCTATGTAGAGGATCATGTCATCTGCAAACAGTGAGAGTTTTACTTCTTCTTTTCCAATCTGGATTCCTTTTATTTCTTTTTCTGCTCTGATTGCTGTGGCCAACACTTCCAAAACTATGTTGAATAGTAGTGGTGAGAGTGGGCACCTTTGTCTTGTTCCTCATTTTAGGGGAAATGCTTTCAATTTTTCACCATTGAGGATGTTTGTTGAGGGTTTGTCATATATAGCTTTTATTATGTTGAGGTTTGTTCCTTCTAGTCCTGCTTTCTGGAGGGTTTTTATCATAAATGGATGTTGAATTGTGTCAAAAGGTTTTCTCTGCATCTATTGAGATAATCATATGGTTTTTATTTTTCAATTTGTTAATGTGGTGTATTACATAGATTGATTTGCAGATATTGAAGAATCCTTGCATCCCTGGGATAAAGCCCACTTGGTCATGATGTATGATCTCTTTAATATGTTGTTGGATTCTGTTTGCTAGAATTTTGTTAAGGATTTTTGCATCTATGTTCATCAGTGATATTGGCCTGTGGTTTTCTTTTTTTGTGGCATCTTTGTCTGGTTTTGGTATTAGGGTGATGGTGGCCTCATAGAATGAGTTTGGAAGTTTACCTTGCTCTGCAATTTTCTGGAAGAGTTTGAGTAGGATAGGTGTTAGTTCTTCTCTGAATTTGTGGTAGAATTCAGCTGTGAAGCCGTCTGGTCCTGAGCTTTTGTTTGTTGGAAGATTTCTGATTACAGTTTCAATTTCCACACTTGTGATGGGTCTGTTAAAATTTTCTATTTCTTCCTGGTTCAATTTTGGAAAGTTGTACTTTCCTGAGAACTTGTCCATTTCTTCCAAGTTGTCCATTTTATTTGCATGTAGCGCTGATAATAGTCTCTTATGATCCTTTGTATTTCTGTGTTGTCTGTTGTGGTCTCTCCATTTTTATTTCTAATTTTGTTGATTTGATTTTTCTTCCTTTGTTTCTTGATGAGTCTGGCTAATGGTTTGTCAATTTTATTTAACTTCTCAAAGAACCAGCTTTTTCTTTCCTTCTACTAACCCTGGGGTTCATAATTTCTTCCTTTTCAAGTTGCTTTAGGTGTAGAGTTAGGTTATTTATTTGACTTTTTTCTTGTTTCTTGAGATAAGCCTGTATTGCTATGAACCTTCCCCTTAGCACTGCTTTTACAGTGTCCCATAGGTTTTGGGTTGTTGTGTTTTCATTTTAATTCATTTCTGCGCATATTTTGATTTCTTTTTTGATTTCTTCTGTGATCTGTTGGTTATTCAGCAGCGTGTTGTTCAGCCTCCATATGTTGGAATTTTTAATAGTTTTTCTCCTGTTATTGACATCTAATACTTACTGCATTGTGATCAGAAAAGATGCGTGGAGTGATTTTGAGTTTTTTGAATTTACCAAGGCTAGATTTATGGCCCAGGATGTGATCTATCCTGGAGAAGGTTCCATGTGCACTTTTAAAAATATACAGTGTTAAAACAGCTTTTTGTTTATTACTTTATATTAATACCAGGAGCAACTTTAAAACATAAACACTGTCTATATAAATAAAATTATTTCCTCTAGATGCTGAATTTATTTGTAACAGTAAAAAAAAAAATGTAATGAAATCTGGCCTTAGAAAAATAAAGTTCAGAGCAATTGCAGATATTTAATTTCAGACATTTAATAAGTTTTACTTGTAAACAGAACTTTCTTGTCTCTGTAAAACATTCTTAGAACCCAGCAACAAGTGATATATCAATTTTCAGAGAGCCTATATGGTTGTTGATTAAACAAACATAAAAATAATGAAATGAAGTCTTCTTCACCATACTTTTAAATATCACAAAGAAATCATCTCTCTTCTATGAATTACTGCATGGATCAAACACTCAACGTCTGGTGTGTTCCTAGAATTAATACAAATAAGGTCTTTTTGTGACTTACTTCATCATGATATTTTAAGTTGAAGTCTCTTGCAGAGACAAATTTACTTTTATATTGAACATGTAATTGTGTTCTTTCCCATGTTCTAGAAACATGGGGGTCTTTAGGTATATTTGTTATTTCTTCATGAGTCCAAAGAAATGTTCTGAATAATTAAAAAAGAAAGGTAAACCTTGATGACAAATGACTACTGACATTTGACCTTGGTGTTAGTGACAACAGCAAATGGTGGGAACTATAGCCCTTTTCCCGTTGGAAGGGGAGAGCTACTGCTCTTCTCTAGCCGTTGTTTCTGTGTGGCAGTTTGGCCAACTACTGCCAAATCTTTTCATTTGGTGGTAGGAGGAAGCTAAAAAACTAACTTTTTTGTGACCTCTCTTTTTAAATGTTGGATTACATTTGCTTATTTAGCACTGTACAGGCTAAACAGAATGTGTCCTCAAGTCACATCCTTCCAAGAAACACTGGTTTTAAACTTCTGAATTAAAATTATCCATTATAATGATAATAAATAGTCCTTATTCATTAAATGACTTGCGTGTTACTTGAACTGATAACAGATGCAGTCTTTATAGGGTTAGTTTCCATTCTTTTTCTTATCCTCTGGTGTGTTTACTTTTGAAAAGAAAATGCCCTAAACATATTAATAGGCACAGCAGAAATGCAGAATCTGGATAATCTACAAAATGAATAGCCAATTCCTAAAGAATTGAAATTTGATCATAATACACAGGTAT